TGGCCCACGGTGTTGCATCTCTCTGAATGTCCCCCCCCATCCCCCCACCCCCCGCCCCAGCCAATACTGTCTGGATAAGGCAGCTTGTCTTCCCTCCTAGTGTGACCTTGGACTAGTGTGCCCCCCAGGGGCCGAGTTTCCGCCTCTGTGCTGTGAGCCAGGCCACAGCTGAGGTGAAGACGGAGAATATCCCACTTCCAGGGATGATTTGACCGAGCAGGGAGGTAGCTTAGGGAAAGGGAACGAAGGTATGGGTCACAGGGTGCACCCCCGTTGAAGGCAGAATCGGTAGGAATGGCTGGTTGGCAGCAAGAGGGCTCGGGGGTGGGGGCAGACTCAGGGAAATGGCTGTCCTCTCCTGTGGGGCTGTGGTGCGTCCTGCTTCAGGGTCTTGGGTAAGCTGGCTGCTCCTGAAATTGCTGCAGCTGAATAAACAGTGGTCAGGCCGCGCTCTGGGGTGAGGCCTTGAGCTGGTCAGAGGTGGGGAGATGCTAGCTGTGGCTGATTGCTGGGGTCACAGCCACAGGCTGTCCCATCCCTGTAATTTAGCCCTGCAACCAGGACAACCTCAGCAATGTCACCGGAGATGAGACGTCTCCTCCCTGGAGGCAGTGGCTACAGACGGTTTCTTTTTTGGACAAAATTGTCCCGGTCAGCCCTTCTGCTTACTGTGCCCTGTGAAGGGGCTCCCTGTCCCGGAGTTGCTGGGGAGAGAGGGCTGATCTCTCCCCACCAGGGTGAGCTGGCGGCCCTGTGAAACCAGACCAGAGCAGGCCAGGCCACAGAGCCCAGTTGGGGGCAGCAGCGTGGGCTCTAGTTCAGTGCCTGCTACCGACCGTGTGACCTTGGGCTGCCTCTTTCTGGACTTCCATTTTCCCATCTGTAAACATGGGAAGGAGTGGACATTCAGATTCCTTTCTAGCTCTGATCTAAGTTGACCGGCTCACTAAGGGGCTGGGTGGGCGGGAAGGGGTTGCAGAGGGCTTCCCAGAGGAGGGGTTCGGGCTCTGACCAAAGTGATCCCTGGGAACCTTGACTCTAAGTGGGCTGCTTAGAGGCCCAGCTACCTGCAGGGGAAGGAGGTGGCTGCTTGCTCTGTCCTGGCGGCAGAGACGGGGAGCCCTGGTTCCTCCTGCCAGAGCCCAGCTTCCCAGGAAGAGCCGATTGTGTGTGCGTGTGCGTGTGTATGTGCGTGGTGAGTGTGTGGGGGGGGTGTTTTTTCTCCCCAGGGGTCCCTAAATCCTGCCCTCATCCTGAGGTTACACATACTGTAGGACAGGGGCCTTGGATTTGAGGTGAGGACAGCTGGTTGCTGGACCCCAGCAGGGGATCCCTCACTTCTCCCACTCGTGGCTCTGAGTCCTGGTACTGCCCCAGCCCAGACCCAAACACTAGCTGCCACGCAGGTGCTGATACGCATGGCAGGGTGGGGAGGGTTGGGGTTCTTCCTGTCCAGGGCCCAGCCTCAACATTTCTGCCAATTGCCTCCTCCTCAGGCCGCGCAGGGCAGGACTGGGTGGACTTTGGCCTGGCTGAGCCTCACACGGTGCTTTTCCACGAGCCCGGCAGCTCCTCCGTGTGGGTGGGTGGACGTGGCAAGGTCTATTTCTTCGACTTCCCCGAGGGCAAGAATGCCTCCATGCGCACGGTGAGCCTAGACCCCTCTGCCTGGACCCCTCTGCTGGCTCCAGGGACAGAGCTGAGCCCCTTCCTCCTTCCCTCCCCGCCCCATTTCTCTCATCTCCCCTCTGTCCTTGGTGAGGGGCCTCAGGGAATCCGGGGGAGCTAGCATCTCTTCTGAACAGGTCTCCCCCCCATTATGTTCCATATATGGTCCCTGCGAGAGGCTCCCTAAAGGTAGTCCAGATTGGTGTGGGTGTTGGGGCAGTGCGGAGAAAAGCCTGGAGCTAACCTCCCAGGCCAAGTGAGTAGTGCTGATGGGGGAGACCCAGTCAGGAAGCTGGGCTCCAGAACCCTATGGCCCCTATCTTCTGAGATCTCTGGGCTGGCCTGTGAGCTCTGGGCTTTGGCTCTGGGTATCAGGGCAAATAGCCTGTGTGATCTTGGGTAAATCACTCACCCTAGTTGCTCATCTATAAAATGAGCTCGTCCTGAGGATGCATAGAAAGCACACACAGGCATGTTGCCTTGGCAGAATGGCCTAATGCTTTCCCCTCCCCTCCAGGTGAACATTGGCTCCACGAAGGGGTCCTGCCTGGACAAGCGGGTGAGTGAGGGAGAAGAGTACAGAGGGGAGGCTGACCCGCTTGGAAAAGGGACAGGAGTCCCTGAGAGTCTGGGGAAGGAGGCATGGCCCTGCCTCAGGAGCCACAGTCTGGGAGGAGAGAGGTAGCCCTGCCCCAGGATTCCCAATTCTGAAGGGAGACATGCTTCTTCACCAAGGCCCCTGTGTCCTTGCTGTTCTTGGGGCATTGGAGTCAGTGGCACCTCCTCTGCTCAGATCCGAAGCCTCCTGCCCCAAGACTGAGGGTCCTAGTGCTGGGCCTGCCGGGCCTCCAGCCAACATCTCTCTTTCCCTTTTGCCCGGGCAGGACTGTGAGAACTACATCACGCTCTTGGAGAGGAAGGGTGAGGGGCTGCTCATCTGTGGCACCAATGCCCGGCGCCCCAGCTGTTGGAGTCTGGTGAGAAGGCCCCTCCCCGTGCACCTGGTCAGCTCACCCTCGTCTGGGTGGGCTTCTGCCCCCACCACGTTGGGAAGGAGCTGGGGGGGGGGCACTCTGAGGCTGGCCTCACTTTGCATCAAATCCCTGGGAGGATGGGGATCGTGGCTGGGAAGCTGGCGCCCACAGGAAGCGGTGGCCATGGCATCATGTGCTGTCTGACCCTCCTTCGTCTCCCCCAGGTGAACGGCACCGTGGAGTCGCTTGGTGAAAAGAGAGGCTATGCCCCCTTCAGCCCAGATGAGAACTCGCTGGTTCTGTTTGATGGTAGGGCAGCTGCCTTGGGCTGGGGGAGGGTGGTCAGCTCTGTGTCCAGTGGCCCAGGTTCGGAGGAGGGACTTCTAGGAGCTGTCTGCCCTTACCCATGCCCCTCCCACCATGCCCAGGGGACGAAGTGTACTCCACAATCCGGAAGCAGGAGTTCAACGGGAAGATCCCTCGGTTCCGCCGCATCCAGGGCGAGATTGAGCTGTATACCAGTGATACCGTTATGCAGAGTGAGTCGGGCTGTGGCTGGGCTGTGAGGGCTGAAGGGGTGTGAATGCCCAGGGCAGTGGATGGAGAGCCCTCAGTTTCCATAGGAGGGCTCCCCAAGGGCTGCTGGGCCACAGCCCGCTCAAGAAACGGGGGGCAGGTACCCAGAGCTGAGGAGGTTGTCTTTAAGGGACCAACAGAGACAATGGTGTGGAGGCAGGGTGGGCCCAACACATTGGGAGCAAAACAGAGGAAGCTGCAGACCCAGCGTGGGGTCCCCAAGAGCCATAGTGTATCCCTCTGCTGAGCTCATGTCGGCGCCACACCTCCTCCTTCTCATTAGGGCTCTGCCAATTAGGCAGAAGTGACATAGGGGCCCCCAGGGACCTCCCCCCAGTCCCTAGGCATGAAGTCATTGCTCCTGGGCCGATGACATCTTTGTGGAAGAGGACAAAACAAGTGTGGGGTGGGGGTGCAGAGTCTCAGGCCCCTTGGGCTGTTGGACCTGATGTTCTGAGTTTTAGTCTAGGTCTGATTTGCTCTGGGTTTGTTTGTAGAGACTAGGTGTGTGTGTGTGTGTGTGTGTGTGTGTGTGTGTGTGTGTGTGCGCACGCACAGAGTCAGGATGGGTCCTCCGGGCAGGCTCCCAGCCTCACATCCATTCATCTGTGTCTTTGGCAGACCCCCAGTTCATCAAGGCTACCATTGTGCACCAAGACCAGGCCTATGATGACAAGATCTACTACTTCTTCCGAGAGGACAATCCCGACAAGAACCCCGAGGCTCCTCTCAATGTGTCCCGTGTGGCCCAGCTCTGCAGGGTGAGTGTGTGGCCTAGTGGGCAAGAGTGTGTGTCTGAGCCTGAACAGGAGCAAGGGAATACATGCCTGGGTCAGGTGTGCACACGTGTTTTCATAAAGGAGTGCGTGAAATGTGCGAGTGAGTCTGGGAGTGGGATTGTGGGAGCAAATGTGTGTGCACGAGAAGGTCCATGCATCTGTACGTGGGCAAAGAGGGGGTCTCGTGCATGTGTGGTGGTGTGCAAATGTCTGTATTCATGCCGGATGTGTTTGAGTGTGTTCGTGAGTATGAACGTGTGTTTACACGTGTTTGTTTCACCTGTGTGAAGGTGCCAATCTGTTCTATGGGGACCTGGCACCCTTACCCTGCAGGTCCCCATTGCTGGCCCTGTGCCCTGGATCGGCTGGAGCCTGGCCCAAGGACCTGGCCTGAGAGGAGAGGCAGCTGTGCCTTGTCCCCTGGCAGGTCCTGGCCCCTTTCAGAGCTCTCTTTCCTCCTCTGAAGCCTGGGCGCTGGCATTCCTGGTGGCAGGTGCCTCGGGTGTGTGCAGCAGCGTGGGCAGGTGCTGAGGGCCTCCTCTTCCTCACCCTTTCAGGGGGACCAGGGCGGCGAGAGTTCACTGTCGGTCTCCAAGTGGAACACCTTCCTGAAAGCCATGCTGGTGTGCAGCGATGTCGCCACCAACAAGAACTTCAACAGGCTGCAGGACGTCTTTCTGCTCCCTGACCCTAATGGCCAGTGGAGGGACACGAGAGTCTATGGTGTTTTCTCCAACCCTTGGTGAGTGACCTTCATGCTGGGGCTGGGGCTGGAGCTGGCGTTGGTTAAGAGGCTTGGGCTCTGCTGAGGAGAAGGCTGATGTGGCACGAGTGGGGACCCCAGGTTCAAGGGACAGGGCCGTTGCTGGGCATGGGGTGGGGGATAGCCAGTGCTCAGGGAGGTGCGTGCACTGGTGTGTTTGTGAGTCTGTATACGACGGGTGTGCGCGCACATGCCATGTGCATGCTCGTGACTGCGCCTGTGCCTGTGTGTCCACCAGCTATGTGCTCAGAGTGGGTGCTGGGCGCTGGGAAGAGGCTGCTGAGGCCTCTTAGGTGCTGGGTGCTATCACACCTGCTCAGGCATTGCCTGCGCCTGATAATTCACACCTCTTAATCACTCTCATTGATTGAAAACAAGGCAGGCAAAGGTGTTAGGTGGATGTGAGGAGAGTTGGGGGACAGGGTGGGGAGGCCAAAACCTTGCTCTGTTGCCCCTGGGCAGGTAGACCCAGCCAGGCTGGGAAGGGGACAGGCCTGTGTTGGGCATCAGTGTGCTGCCGCTGTGTCCAGCGAGGTTGGCGAATCAGCCAACAGGAGTGCGTGTGTTGGGATTTCTCCTGCCCTGGGGTTAGCCTCAGAACTCAGTGATTCTGTGACAGAACACAGGTTGGGTGATTAGATTGTGACAGAGAGAAATTTGGTTAAACTTCCCTCTCTCCCTTCCCCCGTCCTCTCTCGTTTCCTCCTTCCTTCTCCGGTGTTTCATAACTCTCAGGCCCGGGCTTGCTGGGCTGGCCTGGGTGAATGAGGGTGGGTGGGTCCTGGGCCCTCCAGTGAGGCGGTCTCTGTGTCCCCCCAGGAACTACTCAGCTGTCTGTGTGTACTCCCTTGGTGACATTGACAAGGTCTTTCGTACTTCCTCACTCAAGGGCTACCATTCGAGCCTTCCCAACCCTCGGCCTGGCAAGGTAAGCTGTGACGCCCACCGTGGCCCAGGCCCCAGCCCCGCCCCCCAGCCACTTGACTAACCTGGACCTGTTCTCCTTGCCCAGTGTCTCCCAGACCGGCAGCCCATACCCACGGAGACCTTCCAGGTGGCTGACAGTCACCCTGAGGTGGCACAGAGAGTAGAGCCCATGGGGCCTTTGAAGACGCCACTGTTCCACTCAAAGTACCACTACCAGAAAGTGGTTGTCCACCGCATGCAGGCCAGCCGTGGGGAGACCTTCCACGTGCTTTACCTAACCACAGGTGAGGGGCTCCCCCAGGACCTTCTGGCCTGCTTTGTAAAAACGGATATGAAATGTATAGGGAATGATGTCACTGGCATCTGGTTGGAACTTTATACTTGGAAGGAAGAATTGAGTGACCAAGAGCTGTCAGGTGTCAGTGTGTGTGGCTGTGGAAGGGAGGTGGGGGCAGAGGGAAGAGGAGAGGGTATCCTAGGATGGGAGGAGAACAAGCGTGGGGATTCAGAGGCCGAAATGTAGCGAGACCGAGCAAAGCTGGGCGTAGCTTTGGTCCAGATGTCTGACCCGGGGAAGGGGGTGGGAAGAGAAATGGAAAGTCAGGAGGAAGGACCTGGTCACTGGGATCCTGTGGGCCTCTGCTAGGCAGAAGGAGGAAATCAAACTCTCTCCTTGTCTTGGGGACCATGCAGGTGAGAGGAAACATTTGATGTGGGATGCCAAGAATTTAGTGAGCCGTGAGGAGGGGCTTCCAGACAGCGGAGCCTTTGCAGAGGACCACAGAGGGGGCTTCCCCGGGGGGCAGTTTTCTGCTGAGCCAGCTCTGAGCTGAGTTTTTGGTAGCTTCTTGCTCCCAGGCTGTGGGCAAAGGGGGCTGTTGGGAGAAAGCATGGAGATCAGTGTTGGTGGGGCCACAGGCTTTCCTTGAGACTGAGTGGTGGTGCTGTGAGAAAGGGCAGTGTCTCCCCCAGGAGCCTAGCAGTCAGGGCCTCAGGCACCCACCCTCAGTTATTCACATCTCCCCCTCAATGTGGCTTCCTGCTATAGTTTCACTCTGTGGCCTTCTCAGGGCCATGGTGGCCTTATTGGTTGTTTGACTCCTAGAGGCCTCCAGGAAAGGAATTCCCCAAGGGGTCCGGCTTCTGGGTCCTGAGACCCCACTTCTTTACTCCTCCATTCATCCTGGCTACACCCATGGGCCCCTGTCCTTTCTCTGCTCGGCAGCGGCTGGCCTAGCTGCTGTGGTCAGCCAGGCGATGGCAGGGCATTGGGGTGTCGGAGAGGAAGGGTCACACAACACAGGCATGGGAGCAGGAGCCAGGACCAGGAAAGCCGGGTTGGCTGTGGGCTCCCTTCCTGCAGACCTGGGAGGTGAGTGCACGTGAGTGATGAGGTCTTGGTGTGAGGGCCATTGGAGAGATGCCATGTTGGATCCTGCAGCAGGAAGGATTAGGGCCAGATGAGATATAGAACTTTCTGAGCCCTCTGCAGAGAGCAGGAGGCTCACCCATTTGGGAGAAGCTGTGGGAAGCAGTTATGGGGCTGCAGCAGGCAGTGTGTGCAAAGGCAGTGGCAAGGCTGGGGGCTTGTCAGGACAGAGGAGCGTCTGGCCACATCTCAGAGCCTGCGGAGGGGGGCCATAGACACATAAAGGAGAATCCTAGGCAAGCAATCATCCCATCATCTGACTGCTTTTTTGGGGCAAGTGATGCCCTGGGAAATTGGGAGGGAGGAATGGAGGAGGTAGGCTATTCTAGAAACTGGGACAGCGGGTGAGGTGGGAACGGGAGGGCCCGGGGGTCAGGATGCCCATTAGTCCCTGACAGGTATGAATGGAGAGAGCGTGGCCTCAGAGGCAGGCAGCCTGGCCCTTTTTAGATCTAAGATTTTATAAAAATTAAAAAGAAAATCCCCTAAGATTAAATACAATGTGGAGTCCTGGATTGGATCCTGGAACGGACAAAGGACATTAGTGGAAAAACCCAAGAAATCCAAATAAAGTCTGTAGTTGAGGTAATAGTAATGTCTCAGTGTCGATTGCTCCATTGTGACAAATGTACCACAATTACATAAGACGGTAACGTTAGGGGAAACTGGGTGAAGGGTATTCGGGAAGTCTGTACTATTTTTGCAGCTTTTCTGTAAAGCTAAAATTACTCCGAAATGAAAAGTTTATTTAAAGAAAACATCCCCAAAGAGTCCAGGAAACAGGGGAATCATAGAAGGAGCTGAGGGGTGGGGTTCTGATGCCTCTGGGTTCCGGTCATCACCTGTGTGACCTTGAGCAAGTTGCTCAGCCTTTCTGAGCCTCATTTCCTCCTTTTTGAACTGGGAGGATAATACCCACCTCTTAAGGGTGTGGAGGATTCAACAACCGAAATGCTAATGCGCATGGGCTCCCACCCACAGGATTTAGGCACTCGGGGCTGTGCCTATAGGACAGTCGGCTCTGTGCCCCTGTGGACTGGTAGAGCCTTGGGCCTCCTGGGATGGCCTCTGTGGCCCGGATTTGGAAGCTTTCAGAGCTGCCCTCAGGCTCCCAGTCACCCTCTCCCCGCTTCACCCCACCCCAGTCCTGTGACCCTCGCCTGAGCCATGACTTCCCAGCCCTCCTCCACCGACTATCCCATTGGTTGGCGCAGCCAAGAGGGAGGCTGCCTGGCTCTGGGGATCTCCTGCCCACCGACCCGCTGACCCTCTGCCCCTCGCCCACAGACAGGGGCACCATCCACAAGGTGGTGGAGTCAGAGGAGCGGGAACGCAGCCTTGCCTTCAACATCATGGAGATCCAACCCTTTCACCACCCGGCCGCCATCCAGGCCATGTCGCTGGACGCTGAGCGGGTGAGCCTCCCCACCCCACTGTATCCTATGGAGCTACCCAGCGATGGCCAGCTGAGGACAGAGCTCCTTTGCATGTCCTTTTAAGAGCCTCTGGGCCCCAGGGCTCAGAGCCTGGAGGGTAGCCTGGGGACTTAGAACTCTCTTGGGGCTGGGGGCCCTGGCCTGACCCAGTTGTGTTCTTCTTCTAGCGGAAGCTGTATGTGAGCTCCCAGTGGGAGGTGAGCCAGGTGCCCCTGGACCTGTGTG